GGCTGGGCCTGGAGGACAGCGGCGGTGGAGACGACAGCGAGCGGTGGGAGCGGCGCCGAGAGGCCGTACGGGGCGCGGGTACCAGGAAGGGGGAGCACAGAGGTAACGCAGGACGGGACAGGCGGGCGAGGCGTGGGCGCGGACTTGCGGGGCCCTGAAGGCGGGTGGCGGAGGCCGCTCGGCCCGGACGCCGCTCCCTGAGAGGAGGGGGCGGGGCGCTTGGGTCCCGGGAGGTGGTGCCTTTTGTCTGCCTGCGGCGGCCGCCCCGCCCCCTCCCTCCCCTGCGACCTAGCCCCCTGCCCCTCTCGGACGCCTCCTCTGGGGCCCTGCGGCGCGCTCCCGCCCTTGTTTTGTTTGGGCTTGGGGGAGGAGGGGCAGCGCTTCCCTGGCCGTGCGCCCCTGCGTCCCAGCGCGCCTGCGCCGGCGTGCGCTACAGTCCCCAATTGGCTGCGGGGTCGCGCCTGCGCATAAGCTGCGCGGCGGCTGCGCGGCCTATGGTCCGCCGCGCCCTCCCCTCACCCCACTCCCTCTGCGGTCTTCGGAGCCGGTTCGAAAGATGCTGGCGGCGGTGACTGGCTGCGGCGGTTCCGCCCCCCCGGGTTCTCCGCCCCTGCCGCCGCCGCTGCCGCCATTACGGAGCTCCCAGTGGTGAGTGTGCGGAGCCGAGGCCCGCGTTCCTGCCGGGCAGAGCCTGGCGGAGGCTGCCCCGCGTCCGTCGTCCGAGAGTCCCTGAGCCGGTCCCCGCTTGCTCTGCCCCCGCTGCGCGTTCGCGGCTGGGGCCCTGCCGCGCTGCGCCTCGGTGCCTCGCGTCTTTGTCTCCGCTCTCTTTGCCGCGCTGCTCTGCCTTCCGTGGGCGCGCTCGGCTTCGCTGTGCGGCCATGGCGGCCTTGCGCTTTGGGCTTCTGCTGGCATCTAGAACTTGGTACTGCTGCGCCCTAGGCGGCGAGGCTTGAATCCGAGAGTCGCTTCGCTGGGTCGCAAAGCGGTAGGCTTGTCATTGTACGCCTTTGCGACGAGATGAAGGCAGGAGTGGTGAAGCGAGAGCCCCAGATCTGAATCGACCCGGACTTGACCGCCCTGTTCCCGAGGGCAGACACTTAGCTTTTCCGAGGGAGAATTGGGTCCTGCACCGAGGACAGGACCGGGTAGGACTCTATGGCCCCTTCTTCCTGTAAATTCGCCCTTCGTAGTTTATGGTGCTTTCTGACTTTACGTTGAAAACCAAAGCCCACTTGGAAATAACGGCTGGGAATTCATCTGAGATCTTCCAAGCATTCTGCCTCGACCCCAAGAGAAATTACACGTGACTGACGTCATTTCGAAAGATACTTTAGATTTGTTTAACCTGGCATAAGCGTAGAATTAATCAGCTTTTAAATTTTACTGCTTCTTCAAAAAGTTGAGTGTAATGAACTGCAAAGTAATTGTAACATTTTAAAGGGGTTTTTGAGGGCTTTGTTTTGTAAGCTTACTTGAAAAATTGAGAGCTGGAAATCTGCGGAGGAAGTACGTATGATGAACTTTTCACGTAGCTGAAGGCCTTGACTCTGGTCAGAATGTGATTATCTTGACAGGAAGGACCGCATGTCCTTAGTGTCTGCAGAAGGTAGACATCAGTACATACTCATTTACTGAAATGTGAAAATGAAAAAAGAAAATTGCCCGCAGTCAAATTACAGGCATAGGTTTCATTACATGACCCAGTGGTACATCTGAGTGTAGTAGGAGAGTAGCATGGGAGCAATCTGAGGTAGCTTATTGTTAGTGACATTCATGGCATTAGCATTCATAATGTATTACATAAATTTTATGGTGAATTATGAAATAAGACTATTTCTCTTAAAATACATATTGAGTATATCAATAAACTGAAATATATTAAACTAATTTTCTGTTGGTTTTTCTTAATGTAGATTAAAACAAAAAATTCCATTTTGGACATATTTGAAAACCCATGTGAAAAACCTAATTTTCATTTATTCATTCTTCAACAAGTACTGGTATGTGTTGAGCACCTGTTCTACGGCTGGTATGTTCTTAGGCAACATGTATGCAGCAAGGAGCCAGCTAGATAAGTTCCCTGCCAGAGCTGGGCCTCGTGGGGCAATGCTTGTAATCCGAGCACTTGGGAGGCTGAGGCAGGAGGATTGCCCTGAGTTCAAGGCCGGCCTGAGCTACATAGTGAGACCGTATTTCAAAAAAAAAAAAAAAA